TGAGAAGAACTGGCAAAGAGGACCTTGCTCGGATCTTGCTCGGTTTTCCCGCACACCTGACGAAGATTTACTGACGAGTTGTGGAGCGGGCCTTGGAGTTGGAGCACTCCCCTTCGACAAGTTCGGGAAAACCATTCAAAGAGCGATGAGAAGAACTGGCAAAGAGGACCTTGCTCGGATCTTGCTCGGTTTTCCCGCACACCTGACGAAGATTTACTGACGAGTTGTGGAGCGGGCCTTGGAGTTGGAGCACTCCCCTTCGACAAGTTCGGGAAAACCGCAATGCAATACAGTGGATCACGAGCGAAGGCCGGAAATGGTCGCCAAGTGGAGATTGGACAGACTCAGACTCTATATGGATCTTTCCCTCGCCAAGTGGAAATTGGACAGGCTCAGGCTCTATATGGTTATTCCAGGTCGCTGACGCCCGAAGAAATATGAACCGCATCTGACTATGCACCCAGAGGTGGAGAAGGTCATGCGCACCAAGCGGGTGCTGCTCTTCAAGCAGATGTTAAGCGACTGTGGCAATTATGATTGGTGTTTTTCATGATTTGCAATTTGTCGTCCATGGGCAACCTGCTTTGCATTGGAAACCTGAGTGCTCAGTATTGAAGCTTAGAGGAAAAGCTCATCTTCACGCAGATGATAAGCGACTGTGGGAATTGCGATGAAGACCTCTCTGGCTGCATGGTTTGAGCTTTCATGATTGGCAATTTGCCGTCCATGGGCAATCCTCTTTGCATTAGAAACCTGCGCTGCTCAGTATTGAAGCTTAGAGGAAGAGCTCAAAGTGGTCGCACAAAGCAGTTGTGGCGTCCTGTGCTCCCTCGAGGACTTGGAGATCTGCCATGAGGTTTAGCCGGAGACGCAGGAGCAGCTGGAACATCGACCGCGGGCAGGGAGAGCCGACACTGGGAGGCCAAGGTTCGTTGTCGTGCTTTGGGAAAGAAGGACCAGCAGCATTTGGTGGGAAGGTGCAGGGACTTGAGGAGCCCTTACAAACAGCTCGCAGGAAACCTTAGCATGTATGCGCCTCGGTGGTGTCTGTGCTGAATCCTGACGCTAGATGTTTACCCACCTTTTCGAGGATGTGCGCTTCCTTGGGGAAACAAGTGCTTTGCTTTCATTTAATAGGACGGCCTGCGATCCACGACTCCTGGTCAGTTGTTCTCCCTTTCCCCTTTTACCAGTTTCCAGATGACTATGGCATGCTTCACTTGAGCCTCTTGGGATCCATGCTCGCCTTGTGGCGCGGTCGGTCTTGAAGGGTAAGATGCTGTACGTGGCTGGTCATACCCTTGAGAGGATAACCCACTTGGCAGTGCAGTTTTTGAGCAGGACGATGGCAAGCTAGCGACGCTCGGTGCGATGCGCTCCGACCCGCACCATGGAGTAAGGAAAAATATGTTGGTGACCGTGTCCCGGGCATCCAGTGTGACCTTAGACGGCCTCGGGCGCCAAGCAATTGATTGGCCAGGCTGAATTGCTTCCGGTGGTGGCCCAAAGGACATGGACTCAAAGTTGAAGAGCCGAATGGTCCTGGTCTTTATAGTCCATTGGGGAGTCAAAGCAAGTTTGGTGCGCTCGTTTCTCCGGTTTTCACAGTTTACCTCCTGAGATGCAAAGCCAAGCTTGACATGCGGTTCCAAATGTGGAACTGGTGCTCTCGAGCGCCGAGTGCATCCGCTGATTCCGCTTCGAGGCTGGAATTCAAAGAGTATGATGGCTGGAGAGAAAGTGACTCCAGACTATCGGACCACGCAGATTGAATGGGGGATTTGTGCGTGAGACTGGAAGGCCAGGATCCCGCCTCCTTGGGAGGCGCGAGGTGGGTCGCACTCACGTGCAGTGAATATCCCCCGAGCGAAAAGGAGCGCTATGCCATTTGAGCTGAGGACTTTAATTTGTACAATCATGTGCTTTGCAACCATCCGCAATCCGTCTCCTTTCCCTAACCCTTCCCTGTTTAGTGTACGCGATTGGATGAGGCCACGCAAGTAGGACTGGCGATGTACAGCAGAATAAGTTAGCTTTTCACTTTAGTGTTCGCGCTTTATTCTGCTAACACGCCATTGGTGGGATGCCACCTGTCCTATCTTGCTGCGTCGGCTTTCCTGACGGTTGGAATGGATAGGGAAGGAAAGAGCAAGGAGATGTTTTCTGTGGGGCTGAGCATTCGCAGAAGGTTGGTTTCTGTTTATGAGTTACGCGTAAACACGCGCTTCTTTGTGAAGCCATGACTCGATGCTTTAAACAGGACAACTTTCAACAGGTTGTGTCAACCACATGCTGCAACTAAGTGTTGCATGAGGTGGACTCACGCATGAGTTGACAACTCGCAGCTCTGGCTGGGAGAGGTGGGGGGGGGGATCCCCCCTTTTTGTTTGTGATCCTGGGTTTTTGTCCCGCCCACCCAACCCTTTTAAACGCACAGTCCCCAAGGGGGGATTTGTGCGTGAGACTGGAAGGCCAGGATCCCGCCTCCTTGGGAGGCACGAGGTGGGTCGCACTCACGTGCAGTGAATATCCCCCGAGCGAAAAGGAGCGCTATGCCATTTGAGCTGAGGACTTTAATTTGTACAATCATGTGCTTTGCACCCATCCGCAATCCGTCTCCTTTCCCTAACCCTTCCCTGTTTAGTGTACGCGATTGGATGAGGCTACGCAAGTAGGACTGGCGATGTACAGCAGAATAAACACACAGACACACACACACACAGACACACACAGACACGCACAGACACACACAGACACACACAGACACACACACAGACACACACAGACACACACAGACACACACAGACACACACAGACACACACAGACACACACAGACACACACAGACAGACACACACAGACAGACACACACAGACACACACAGACACACACAAGACACACACAGACACACACAGACACACACAGACACACACACAGACACACACAGACACACACAGACACACACAGACACACACAGACACACACAGACACACACAGACACACACAGACACACACAGACACACACAGACACACACAGACACACACAGACACACACAGACACACACAGACACACACAGACACACACAGACACACACAGACACACACAGACACACACAGACACACACAGACACACAGACACACACAGACACACACAGACACACACAGACACACACAGACACACACAGACACACACAGACACACACAGACACACACAGACACACACAGACACACACAGACACACACAGACACACACAGACACACACAGACACACACAGACACACACAGACACACACACAGACACACACAGACACACAGACACACACAGACACACACAGACACACACAGACACACACAGACACACACAGACACACAGAGACACACACACACACACAGACACACACAGACACACACGGACACACACAGACACACACAGACACACACAGACACACACAGACACACACAGACACACACAGACACACACAGACACACACAGACACACACAGACACACAGACACACACAGACACACACAGACACACACAGACACACACAGACACACACAGACACACACAGACACACACTCACACACACAGACACACACAGACACACACAGACACACACAGACACACACAGACACACACAGACACACACAGACACACACAGACACACACAGACACACACAGACACACACAGACACACACAGACACACACAGACACACACAGACACACACAGACACACACAGACACACACAGACACACACAGACACACACAGACACACACAGACACACACAGACACACACAGACACACACAGACACACACAGACACACACACACAGACACACACAGACACACACAGACACACACAGACACACACAGACACACACAGACACACACAGACACACACAGACACACACAGACACACACAGACACACACACACACACACACACACACACACTCACCACCCACGGCACGCACGCACGCACGCACGCACGCAGCACGCGCACGCGCTTCGCGCACACGCGCTACGCGCAGCGCACGCGGCACGCGGCCGCGGCCGCGGCACGCGGCAGGCACGCCGCAGCCGCACGCAGGCACGCCGCACGCGCACGCCGCACGCCGTCACGCCGCAAGCGCACGCCGCACGCGCGCGCCGCACGCCGCCGCACGCCGCACGCCGCACGCCGCACGCCGCACGCCGCACGCCGCACGCCGCACGCCGCACGCCGCACGCCGCACGCCGCACGCGCACGCGCACGCGCACGCGCACGCGCACGCGCACGCGCACACGCACACGCACACGCACACGCGCACGCACACGCACACGCACACGCACACGCGCACACACACACACACATATATAAACACATAAACACACAGCACGCACTCACATAGCACATACACACACACACACACGCATTGCACGCACACGCACACACACACACACACACACATGCGCACAGGCGTGCGCACACACACACACACTCACACCCGCGCAAACACCCGCACACACCCACACGCACACGCGCACGCACATACAAACACAGACATGACGAAGACCATTCACAGTGTTGGTTTGCCCTTTAATGTGGCTGTCACTCAATATATTGTCCTGATTTGATACTTGTGCTGCCCTCCGACATGCGATTTGCACTTTTACCCAAGGAATGGCTTTTTCGGGACTGTTGATTTGCAAGCGAGGCCGAGTATGCTAGTTGACTCGCCTTCGGAAGATTGCAGAAATGCGTGGCATTTGATGCCACCATGTGTCATATGAGCAAGACTTTGCGGCCGGCCACTGCCGGTTCTGCGTCCCGTGCAGAAACCCGTGCGATTGTTGAAAAAGGGAGGCGGACACTGGAGAGTCTGCAAACCAGGGGTGGGTCATGTACCCCAAAAGGGGAACCCGGGCTTAAGTCTATTTGCTGTTAGTCAAAAATAGACCCCTGTCTGGTTAAATGGGTTTTGAATAGAGGTTTGGGAGTTGCCCATTGGCATCGGTAGGAGATACGTACCAGTACTGCGGAGCGGGACAAGACAAAGAAATCCTTGGACCTTCTCAAGCGGCGGAAGGCGAGGTTCAGGACACCTGGTGCTGCTTGGCAGTTTGCGTATGAAGTCGCTGTTTCCGATGCGATGGATCGGGCCAGCTGAAGCGAGGACTGTTTAGTTCCACATCTTTTCTTGACGCTTGTGTCAGGCGTTAGATGACGAGGAACGCCACGAGATGAACCTGGCGAAGGCGTAGTGTTTTGTTGCATGCAGCGCACATGTTGAAGCCGTGAACAGAGTGACGGCGTGATAGTACCATCGAATGACTAGAGACATTCTGACTCCAATCACTGATTCTTGCGATCCTGCCGTGCAAATCAGGCTGTACTCAAGACAGAGGCGGAAAACCTGATCCGCGAGGCTGGACCGAGCTTGCGTCACATCAAGCCATGTAGACCCGCGTGCGCCCAATCATGAAACCGTTGGATGCCCACACAGCGTGCGGCCTCACAGAGAAGCCTGAGACTTTTGTTACATGCTCAGCCCGCAGACTTGAGTGTTTTACGTGAAATTGTGCTTGTCAATCGCGGCTTGCCTGATCCACTGTGCTCAGATAGAGATGCTGAAAAAGCAAGCAGAGACAGATAGCAAGGCGCTGCCCTTAGTATGCTCGCGGCCGCAATCTAGGAGATCATTGCTGGAGTACACAAACAGGAGGTACCAGATTTGTTGAACTTCGTGAAGCTCGCACTGAAATCCTGCAATACACACGACATTCCTCAATCAAGTGGATCTGGCTTGAGCATGCCAGACCATCGCCGATATCCTGCGCGATCGGGAGTCGCTGAACCGAGCGCTGATTCGCGGGAAGCCTTAGTGAGCATCAACCCCCTGTCCAGCTCAGCCTGAGGCCCAAACGCTTGATTCGCCGGTTGGACAGTGCGTGTTTTCGGAGATAGGTTTGCAAGAACAGTGAGAGTCCACACAATTACAGAGGCTGCAGAGGCTGTTGTCTTTAGCCCGAGTGCAGAGCCTCGATTGGAACATTCTAGATGTTACTAGGGATGTGCTTTGCCCATGCATTCCGCATACTTCAGGCTGCGATGACAGAACAAAAGATCAGTCGAAGAAGGTGAAGACCCACGACGATGCTTGGCATGATGTCCAAGCCTTGCAAAGCTTAAACCTCGAGTCCAGGAGCTGCTTGGAACTGTGTCATTGTTTCTATTGACAAGTTGGGGGTTTTGGGATAGTCCTAGGAAACTTGAAGTTCTTGATTCCACTCTTGTGGGACTGCCTCGCAAAGCTGGGCGAAAGCCTGGCACGTCGCCAATTTGGGGGGCCGGTGGATTGGGGTGCCGGTTCTTTCCGCAGCTGTTCTGCAGCCTTTGTGGACAAAGGACGTCATCACTCTGTCATCGGCACACTGTTGTTGCTCCTGAATGTAAAGATTCCACGGTGTATGGTAGGTCATGTCGTCATGTCCATTCAATTCATTCTCCCGAAGGCTCAACGAGCCCCGAATGAGGATGAAGCCCAGCAGCTGGAGGAGGAGGTAAAGCAAGTGAAGCTGGACGTGCAAGATGCCATCAAGCAGGCTGGGTGCTTGTGCGCTGTACACCTGTAGTGGAGACGTTTGTTCCGAACCATGCAAGTCATCAGCTTTGCAGGCCTATGATTTGGACAAGACCAGGGAAAAGTATGGCCTTGAGCGCAGAGCTCAATTGAGTGACTCCTTTGAGAGGTCTCTATGTCTCAATTTTGCCAAGCTTGATGCCACGGGCTGGGTGTCAGCTTGCGTTTCCCCTTAGAACTGAAAATGGGAGGACAGTACTGCGGATGGACGGAATCCATTTCGCACCACGAAATAAAAATGGTTGAAACCATAACGTTTCTTGGCATTTACGTTGGGGGAATCGAATCATGCCGTGGGTCAGTACCGAATTGAGGATTTCGCAACCATCCACAGTAGGAACGCCCCAGGTGTTCCCTGGCCAACAGCAAGTACATGGCCGCGCTAGAGGCGAGCAGCTTGACGCGCTTGGTGTATTTTCAGGCATGCATCGTGCCAGGAGCTCAAGAATCGCGACAATAAGATCTCAGAGCTCAAGAAAAACTTCGCAGATGTCTGCCTCCTGGATCCTTTGCACTTTAGTCCTTTTCAGTGTACTTGGGACACGTTCACCAATCTGACAGGCTGCTTCTTTTGGTCTCCCTCGCAATGTAGAAGCGTCACAAAATGAGCTGGACAAAGCTCCAGCAGCTTTGGGACTCGGATATTTGCACGCCTTGAGAACCGAGGTCAAGGCCAAGCTGGGTCAGCAGAAACAGCTGTATGAGGCTGGGCAAGGATTTTAGCAGGACATCTGCCCGCCCTTTGGGCTTTCATGATAGTGGAGTTGTATTTGGCTGGGAACCACTCTGAAACCGGGCCATGCCCAGAGAAGCTTCTGGGGTCAGTGGACGTCGCAGTTCGGGGTTACTGAAAACTGCCTTCTTGGCACTTTCAAAAGGCAATGCAACATTCTCCGTGTAGGGGGGACAGGATTGTCCATTAGCATGGCGGCAAAAGCTTGGCTCAGGTGTTTGTTGTTGTGCTTGTTTGGTTGTGTGTGTGAGTGTCAGTGGAGCGCCTGTTGTGATTGCATTGCATGCCATGAACTTGGCAGTGTGCAGCAGCACACACACAAACGAGCACGAGCACACCTCTACGCAGCTTTTGCTCTGTCTATCTTGCATGATCATTCTCTCTGCAGACCCCCTTGTTGTTCCAGTGTGCACCTCCATGTTTTTCTCACAACTTGATTTTCCAGAGCAATAGCTATGGGCTTTGCGGGGTTGGGTGGCTGTGGGGCAGGCTCGAAGCGGGCGGAAGTGGCAGGTTCTGGGGAAGTGGCAGCTTCAGGGTTGCGGATTGCCGTTGGACCAGCTGCAGCTGCCGCTCCTCACCCACGCACCCACCCACCCACCCACCAGACACCCGCCACCGCCGCTGCCGCCACCGTCACCACTACTACCAGCAGCGTTTGCACTGCATGAGCACCAGCAACAGCAGGACAGCCATCGTCACACCATCACACGCAGTCTTCCGCTTTTGCAAAGCCACTACATTGATTTTAATGCCTGGGACACTGGCTCTTCTTGTCACAAGGAGGGCAGTACCGCATAGCCGCATAGCAAACTGAATGACTTACAGCTGTTTAATGGCAATCAGTCACTGTGGCTAGTCGCGCGCTGATACTGGTTCAGCATTCCACCCAGCTTGATGAGTGAGTGCGCAAGCAGGCAGTGCGAACCGATCGCAACATCTATTCAAAGAAGCTCGTGGAATCGCAGGACATTTGCAAGACATGCAATCATAGTGTTGTCTGGGTCTGCAAGTTACAGAAGGCACATTGGAAACTGCCAGGACGAGATAGCCGAGATGAAGCGCAAGTTCAAGATCATGTCGCACCAGATTGAGCAGCTAAAAGAGGATAGCTCATGACAGCGTTTCTGCAATGGATTGGCATACCAGCCTTCGTTTGTGTGCTTTGGATTCCTAGAGGGAGGTTTCGGTCCCCCGACCGTAAATTGCGGGCAGTTTGCACAACGCCATTCATGTGCCAGGAGATTAAGGAGAAGGAGGAAAGACTAAAGCGGGTGCGGCCAGCTCACTTGCACCAAGCTTGTTGCTGTTTATTGTCTTGCATGGTTAGGGGCATCATGCCTTCAACCGCATGCAGAAAGAGCCGTGCCCCCAGAAAACAAGAATCGACGAGCTACCGTCCGCGCGCTGTGTTTTTATCATTTTGAATGGACATTCATGTCTCAATGGGTCTGAACTCTTTGTTTTTGTTTGTTTTTACTTTCTCGAGTGTTTTTGAACAGATTGAATCTCTGGAACACTTTGAGAAAACCAAAAGCAACAAAAAGCAATAAGTTCCCAGCGATGTCCCAAATCCTGAACAAGTCCCCACCCATGTCCCAGATCCTGGAACCACTTCCCAAGTCTGAACTTTTGTGGTTTTCTCGAGATGTTTAGCATTTTGCACCAGACTGTCCCAGATTCAGAAGCAGCAGATGCAGATGTGCATCCAGATGCTGATTTTCATCTAATTTTCATGAAACACCGCACTCTCAGGGTACCGCGTTAGTTTCTGTGCGTGTGTAACCCCGTCTTTTGGTTTCAAAGTGGCTTACACGTGCAAGTACTGCTGCGAAAACGGGCTTGCTTGGATGTCACCGCGCTAGGTGAACTTGAAGCAAGCATCGCAACATACGTAACATATAATTGGGATGGAAGCACAAAGAGGGCAACACCCTGAACATTTACCGGCTCCTGCTTTTCCCTCAACTTCTAAAGCCCAAATATATACCAGGCTCCAAACATGTTGGTCTTGCGCTGGAAGAATCCTTGCCATCGACAAATGGCCAAATTTACAGTTTCTGCCTAGTTATTTTGTTGCTTCCTATTATCCTTCTTTCTGTACTTCTTGCTAATCTCTTTCTTCCTTCCATTCTTGCCTGCGTGCCTGCCTGGCTGCCTGGCTGGCTTGCTTGCTTGCTTGCTTGCTTGCTGCCAACCCCACAAGGGGGTCGCGTTTGTCCATATGGTTCAGCTGTTGACGATGAACTTTTCGATTGGCAGGTACCCAGGAAAGGACGAGGTTCAATGGAAAGACACGGCCCCCTTGCGCGGTTGGTTGCTTGTTTCTCTTGCTCCCTTTCCTTTTGCCTTTTGTTCCTTGCACGCATTCTTTCGTTCTTTCTTTCTTTTGCTCTTCCGCTCTTCCGTTTGTTGTTTCTTTGTTCTTGCTTGCAATTCAATATTTTTTTATTTTTTTATTTACTTTTTTACTTATTTACTTATTTATATATTTATTTACTTGTTTATTTATTTATTTATTTATTTATTTATTTATTTATTTATTTATTTATTGTTTCTTTCCTTCTAGGAACCGTTTTGGATGCGCCTTTTGTGGATTTCACATGTTCTTCCCACTGTTGGTCCTTCTTTAGCAATCTGTTTGTACTCTTTTAACCTTCTACAGGGGTGGAACCACAAAAGCCACATCCAAATCGTTTTCTAGATTCCTTTTTCTTCTTTCTCTATTTCTTATTCCATTCTCATTCTTTCCTTGCGTCCTGTTCTTTCTCCTTTGATCATCCTATGGATGGTTTCATATTTTTGCTGTCTCCGTTCATTGCAAGCTGCAGGTGCGAGTTCTTCAAGGACCAGATGGAGAGGCAAGTTTCCTGGTAGGCTGAAGCTCATACGGCTGTGGCTCAGCAAATGGAATCCCCAGAATTGCACCTCGCCAAATGGAAACAATCACTAAAGCTTGCGTAACCCTAGCTGTTTCATTCTGAGCATACCCATATATGTAGCTACTTAAGTGTTGGCAGAGGCAGTACTTGAGTAACATTTGTGTGCTGACAGATTGGAGAGTAGGGTTATGGGGAGCTGTCGAATCTTGCATGCCAGGGCCAAGCGACGGCAGCAGACGCTGAATACCCACAAGGATTCCCAGCAGGCAAGAGTGCGCAGTGCAATATGTCTTCGTTGGACATACTGAAGCATCCCCCTCATCCGTTCCAGTGCTTTTGGAGATGCTCAGATGGCAGGCCGAGATCAAGAAGTTAGAATCTAGGCCAGAGACGTTCTTGACTGTGCAGCTTTGAACCATAAGAGGATAGAAGTCGCGGTGGCTTTTCAACTTGTTTTTTCTCACTTCTGTGGCAGGATCCTTGAAGAAGAGGATCGAAGAAAGCGTAGGGTTCTTGGAGCGGAGTGTTTGCAGCAAGGCTTGAGCAAGGCTTGAGCAAGGTCTGAGAACATCATGGGACCTTGAAAGATGCTTCAAAGCCGACGCTCAGAACAGAAGAAGAAGTATGAGGAGACGATCAGCGAGCGGGACGTGCCTGGAACCTAGTTGTGCTCCCGCTTGTACTTGCCTGCACTACTGGTAGTGGTGTGTGACCTGCCTATGCGGAGGCTTGGTACACAGCTCATTCACCGCAATGATGAGCTGGCCCTGCAGTATGAGAAGATCAAGTGCCCAGAGCTTGCTTGTAATTCAAGCAAGGTGATGCTGACGGCTGGATGAGTTGGTGCAGTCGACGCAAATATGAAGCATACCCGTTGGTTAACTCCAGGAAGGTCAGCTCCATGAAGCCTGACTTGCATAAGGCGAGCAAGCATTTGCATGCCAGGATCCAGCAGCGTACCTTGCAGAACGGCGAGCTGGCATACAAGCAGCGCCTGGAGGACGGGCTTGGACCATTGGACATGCGGCGTCGCGTGACAGATCATGCAGCTCCCCTCTAGGAATCTCGGGCGCTGGGCATTAAGCTGGCACAGCTGAAGAGGGAGCTGCACATTGGCAAGCAGCAGGCAAGTTGGGCTGTAGCCAATGTATCCTCTAACCAGCAAGCGTCACAACCACCTGTCACCACGGCAAAGTGGCGGCATTAAGTACTTAATGCCGCCATGGGTTTTTATTGCACAATTCCAACGGAGGAATGCAGGATGGGCATGGGACAATATCAATAGAACATGCATGCCTTTCTCAGTCATAGAATGACTGGCAGGTTCTCAACATTGATGACCTGAAGCGCGAGGCGGCATAGTTGTATACAAGGTGTTTGTTTTTGTTTGTTTGCTTGTTTGTTTCTGTTTGTGTGCTTGTTTTGGTTACATGACCTATTTTGATAAACGTTCGATTTGGCAAAATGCCTCTGGCAGGTCTTCCAACTGCAGAGGGAGTTGCTGCAAGAGAGGACGAAGGCGCTTGCTATTACAGCCTTAAACTAAAATAAAACGTGTGATAGGTCGCAATTCGCGAGGGCATGTTTTCCTTCTGTGAGCACAATGCGTGGGTTGCAAGCCGTGAGGCATGTTCCATGATCTAACGAGGATTGGGCTGTGTGCTCAGGTGAAGGCCCTGTCGGAGGACACGCAAGCTGCAAGTTCGCTGTTTTGGTTTCAACTTGTTCTTGTTGAGGAGCTGGAGAACCCCATGAATGTTCATCGCTGGCGGAAGTTGGAAGGTCCGATGTTTGACACGCTGCGAGAGCTCAAGCATCATCACCCTGCAATGAGTTGCTGTGCTTGCAAACTGCTGCTGAGCACCGTTCAGTTTGCAAGTTTCATGTACGACTCTGAAAAAGCCCTTGGAGCACGTTTGCCGCCGCATCGCAGCTGTTCGCTTCAAACTCCTTTTCCCTTGACTTGCCGGACTATGCTGAGATGAATGATCATCCATACTGGGTGTTGCTCAAAAAATCTGACCCAAAATGGAACCCAGGCAAGTGGACACGTAGACTAAAACTTGCGGCCTGGCTCTAAAAATTTGAGCCACACCCAAGCAACAAACAGCACCCTACTAACAAACACGGATTGTAGCAGTCTACGCCATGCACAGCAAAGGATCAAATAAGCCAACGCTTTTTTCCACAGCTTTTGAGCTGCTCTTCCGAGACCTGCTTGCAAAATGGCTTTTGGACCCGCAGACGTGGGTGCTACTTTCTGCGTACGTTGCCTCCTGGCGCGCCCCATGTTGAGGCACGGTATCGCTCGGAGGTCGCTGCGTTTGAACCACTCTTTTTCTGAATGCTTCATTTTTATGTGGCGTTCGCTCTTCCAATGTGGTTTGATGCTGTGGAACAAATGGGCCGGTTGTGGAATGTGATTTCTTGCGGAGTGTTGCTGCACATTTCCTATGGGCAAAGCTTCATGACGTGCTGTCTTGATCTCAGAATGTGTGGCGGTCCTTATCAATCTCGCGCCTAGTTCGCTGGTCTCCGGTCCCTTAGCAAAAAGAAGGCCCTGGCTGCTGCTGGCGGCGGCGGCCCTTGCTCAGCAGGTGGACCCCCTTGGAGATGAGGCCCGAGAACATTCGCAAGAACCTGAGGTTTGGGACCAAACCACGACCGATTCCCCGAACCTCGAACGGTTTCAATCGGTTTCATGTTAATTGGTGGGAGGGTAGCACTTCAGGACACCAAGAATGCTGGCATCCGCATCTCAGTGAATGGCTGCCCGGCACGAAGTTGACGCCCGAAGAAGCACTTGAGCGCGAGTATTGCGCCTCGTTGCGCCTGAGCCCAAGGACATGATACCGCGCAGTTCGTGATGCTGGATTCGAGATGGCGCGGCTTGCCAAACACGGGATGCGCTTTCGTCCCATGTTCATAATTGGGAAGACTGCCATTGTGACTGTGAAGTAAGTGACGCACTCGGCATGAGTTGGGCCGTCTCTTGAAGAAGAGTATTTTTGCCTTCGTATTTGTTTGGACTGGTGCCAGAGATGTATTCAAAGTCCTTGTTGTGACTGCATTTTGTTGGCACAACCCAGGACCTGGTGCCGACTACTTGCCCTCGCTTTATAATCATTTTGTCATGCGTGGGGTCTACGCTTTCCATGCAACTTTCTTTGTGGTGGCCTCCGTGTGAACAGTCCGTGCACACGCCAATATTCTGTGAAGAAATCCAGTTTTCGCGATTGTGGGTTTCATGTTGGGTTACCGCATAGCTCTACGTCCAATATGCTTTGCAAGCTTTTCCTCAACTCTTAGACCTTGCCTGGAATATCAACATGTACCCGCATGACGAAGAATCGACGGGTTCCCTTCCATTAGACGGAAATCAAACACTGCTCATGGTGCATGTGGCACATCTGTGTTTTTGCTGGTGGTCTAGTGGAAAATTGAAACACTTCCTCATGTTCATACCAGCCTGGCTTATAAATGCTGAGGATATCTCTACACTGTGGACGGCAAGAGTTGCGCATCTGTGTCAACTGACCCCGGTGACATGGAAAGGCTCGCTTTTTCGCAAATCGGATTCACCAGACGTGAAGTGGGGAGACCTAGCTCTGCAGGTGCTACCTGCAAGGCCTCAAAGCTTCCAGGTACTCGGTGGCTTGGCAACTCCAGGCTGAGTTTGTTTGACTTTTTGAGCGGATTCAGCAGATTCCGCTTCAACATTTGAAGCCGGGAATCTTAGACTGCATCACTTCCATGTTCGTGGCAAGGGCGCACAGGCTTGTGCCTGTTTGCCGTTGTTCCCAACTGCCCCTTCTGAGAAGTCTGCAAGGACGTTTCTTGATAAGTTTGCCTTGACGCCGACACTAGGACAGCTACGGTGTCTTTGTGGGTTCTCCGAACAATAGAGCTGTTACGCTGCGCTATGCCACGAAGGACGCTCACACAGGTGCAGCCCGTTGATCCAGTTTGGTCCAGCCCAGTGTTCCACTTTGAAGGCACTGGTTGAAATGCGGGACTGCTATATAGGTTGCCCGTGTGTGTCAATCCGCAACCCTGACAGCAACAACTCCAACATGTTTGTCATGTGTGAGCTGCTTGAGATCTTTTGACCGGCTTGCTGCTATGGCATCACACATATTTGATTCGCACGGTTTCTGACAAGAGCGCATGCAGTTGTTCCATGAAGGTATGAAATTGTGACAAGATAGATTGGTGAAGGCATGGACAGCTCAGTTTCGGGGAAGGCAGCACTCCGCACCCCGACTATTTGTTGCAACGGCAGAAGCCAGGGCGGCACTTCGCGCGCCTTTGCTTGGCTGTTGGAGCATGGCAGACCTCGACTGGCCAGGACCCAGATGCTCCAACACCCAACTATGGCTCTCGCGTTTACTTGACAGATGGCCAGTGCCTCATTGCTTAGTCACATCTAGACCCAAAGGTACATGACTCACATGACATGCAAGGCTGTACTGGAGAAGAATGAATGGCAATGGCAGGTGAGGGCTACACTCAATTTGCGCCCCTCTCGGGGGAGATCTCTTTTGACATCGACATCAGCAAAGTTCCAGCTGGAATGCCAGGGCCACAAACGCATGCTACGCTTCACATGCACTGAGAACTTACTGTCCTTGTCGTGTGCTGAGGAATGCTGCGGTATACCTGGTTTCGATGGATACTTATGGGACTCTTGGCCTTGGGCAACGTCCTTTGCGCTCTTTAGCTTCTAATCACCTGTCAACGCATTTGGACGCTTCTTTGCCTGCACACCGACCTGCCTGTGTCTGCACAACTGCCTACTGACCGCTTGCCAGATTTGGTCGAGGAACATGAATAGCATCAGCAACAGCGGCGTCATGAATGTTGCGGGCTGGCGGCGTGGTCTGGGTTATTGTGACGCCCAATGCCCTACGGACCTCCGCTTTGTGCAGGACAAAGGTGCTCCGGCCAAACGATCAGTAGAGCACATTTGTTTTATCTAGACGCTTCGCTCCAGGCAGTATGCCCGAGGAATGGACCAAGCATAGTTCAACATGGCAAGATTTTGAGAGATTTGGCTCAACATGTTGCTTTGGCATATTCTCAGCATGCAACAAGAAGACCCTTGGAGTATGTGATCGGCGCTCATGATCCCTCACCCACGCAGTGATTCAAGATGATCCAAGTAAGAATTGTTGTGAACGAGTTGAAGCAGTGCCCCGATATAGGCAGAATAAGCATACGATTTGTAACGTACCATGCCACTAGCATTGTGTCATGTGTCCATTCTTGTGTTACTGTGGCCCTAGCTGAATGCTTGACTTGTTTGAGGGCAAGCTTGATGGTCAGCCGCAATCTTCGCTGTGAGGCTTCAACCAGAACAATCACTATGCCTCCTGCTGTCCGGAGATGGACACTTGGCCCTGGTGTGGCATTGAGCATTCAGCGAGCATGAGGATAGGGATGCGACTCGAAAGGTCCAGGGTGTTTGAACACAGCAAGTCCAGATTTTCATGTTGTTGTGCCTCTGATTAAATTCATTTATTCACTTCTGGCAAGCAACTTTGAACCAATAAAGCCGCAATAGTGCATTGCGCTTGGCTGCTAAGGACCTGTTCGAGGCAAACCGCTTCGTTTCTGCCATGACTGCGCACCCATGCAAGTTGACGTCGGCATCTTGCCTGCAAACACATGGATGCCATCCAGCTTATTTTGCTCGCACCACCTCTTATTTGTTTTCGCTTCTGACAATACCACAATGACTCCATTTCGCACAAGCAGCGCGAGGAAAGCCATAGATAATGTGCAGATAGTTTGTCACACTTGTTCAAGTAAGGAGAGTGTGTGCGACGCGTCCAAGAACAAGAAGTGCAAAGCGGAATGCGACAGCAATGGAGCTGACGTGAACACTTTTCGCGAGTATGGCGCGGATGGGAGAGCGGGAAATCTGGAGGGGATTCAAGATTGGCATGGTGTCAAGTCCACGAGGGAGCTTCGAGGTTGACTTGCTCGCGTTTGGCAAAGACTCAACATCCCTTGAAGCCCTCTGGTGAATGAAGTTATGGGAGGCCCCGGGCATGCTCTCTTCAACAACGTGGATGTGATGCTGCCCTTCACGGTGCGAGCGCCAGCATGTCAGCATTGTCAGCATTGTCAGCATTGCCGTTCCAGTGTTGGCCTCTTTGATTTTGCATTGAAAGTACTTGCAACGCCCAAAGTATCAGCCAGGCACTGTTGAGCCCCACGCTTGTGGTCAACATGCGGGCCTCCGCAGGTTACAACTCGCTTCATCACCGACAATGGTTATGCAAACGGCACCCTGGTGGAGACTTGGCACACTACTTCCCTTTGCCAACTTGCACTTTTTCCGCGTCCAAGCGCAACAATAATGAGTTCAGGAAATCGAGCAAGAGCTGATTCAGGCGTTGGCTGCTATAATTCAGGGACCGAAACATAAGTCTCAGATGTCGCCGCCAGAATGGCCGCGCCTTCAAGACCAGCCTCACCGACCAGGGAGCTGCCGACACGGCGGAGAAGTTCAGGAGAGCTGAAAGAAAGCTCAGTGAGGGGCATGGAACATGACACCTATAAAAACACCGTGGGAGAGGAGGAGCAGGGTTTCAGGCTTGAATCGCTTGAATTGTTTGGCAGGAGTACAAATCCCTTCGGACAGGTTTATGGCTGCACGGTTGCACTTGGGGCGCCATTCCATCCCCGAATCGTATGCCTTTCGGGTCAATGTGAGTGACATGTGAGTGACGCCCGACAGACTCGTCAACTTGCATTGGCGGCCCAGGCGGACTGGCGCAGATGGGCAAGGCATCATGGGCTGTGTTTGCCGGGCTGTTGCTTGTGGTCACGAAAGCTGGCTTGCTAGCTGGAGTCTCTTTTGCCTTAGCAAGTGATAACCCCACAACTCTCTGATACACTATTGTTTTTTTTGCGCGCTCACTGTGTCACTGCTGTCCAATAAATTTGGCTTCGGAAGACTCGACCCTCGCCTGCGAGGCTCCCTGGCTTCTGCCCACTCTTTGCTTCGCTCTTGTTTCCGCACTTCTCCCCTCCACACTGCGCTTTGCTCCCCGCTCTTCCCACCAAGGGCGAGAGCCATGGCCCAACCACGCAAGAGGTTGTGCCCAAGCAACGCCGTAAGAGTGCGAAAGCAAGGCCAAAGACAAAAGGGACTGGCCCGAACACGAAAGGTTGGGTGTACAAACACATCACGCTATAGAATTATAGGTCATGTCGGCGTCATGGATGGCGTGCATCACGGACAACAATCCCAAGTCAAAGCACGCACTTGGCACGAAGGCAGACATGACCTCGGCATCAAACAAAGGCAGTCAGCACAACACCTCCAACAAGCACGGGATTGCCGCGGTAGAGCGTGGTGCGTCTGGCCAATCATTTCATCTCTTGCTTGTCATCGAGTGCCGCAATATCCCTGCCTTGCAAACTGTGACTTTCTCTTGAAGGGCGTGATCATATGATGTTCTTGTCTGGGCAAAACATGCAGCTACTATGCGTGCCGTACATATGTCATGTGCATCCATAATATGGATGTATGTACATTTCTATGTACACGGTGCCAACCAACAGAGTACGCGCAGTCGGCTACGACAAAACCAGCTCAAAAAATAGAGGGGCATGTGCAGTGTGGGGTTGAGCCTTGATATTTGGATAAACTTGGCAAGTTGATTTGAAGCAGCGATGCCAGTCTTTGCGCGCTGGCATGGTGCTGGTGATTGCACTCTGGTCCGATGCAGGCGGGGGGGAGATTTGCCCCCCTGAGGCAGTGGGTAGGGCAAAACGTTTTGTCTTGCAACATTCGTATGATTGCTGCTGGGACTGATCGAGAAGCCACTTGGTGCCCAGATAAGTGTTTGCAGCTTTGACTGAAATTGGACTTTGTGTGCTTGTGCTTGTGATTCACTTCTTCTTCTTCTTCTTCTTCTTCTTCTCTTCTTTTTGCCCCTCTCCCTCTTCTCTCTCCCTCTCCCTCCCTTTTCCTCTCCTTTTTTCTACCTCCCCTGGTCTTGCTTGCGAAGGTGCAAATATGAATTGGCTTCTTGGCATCAACCACTTGCTCCACTGGCTGCATGGCTGTTTGCATTTGTCGAATTCGAACGAGAAGACCTGCTAGGTCTTGCTAGAACGTCGGCATAGCACTATGATCATGTAGTTGACTGCAAAAGGCAAGCCAATTGCGTTCAGTGTGGCATGCGCATTTTCAGGCTCGATTCCTGCGACGCAAACAAGACAGAATACGAGTGTCCCCTGGTCCGCAATATCCAGCATTTGCACATGAAGCGCACCACCCGCATGATCCCATTTCTCAATGTGCAGAGACTTTTCAGCAGATTATTTCCCAACAAGGCGAAAAGCATGCCAAGTTCGACGATATTGTTTGGGAGCAGGCGTGCTGCTTGCGTGCCCAGCTTGTCTTTGCCTGGAGAGGGAGGGGTTCGTGAAGGTTTCAGTCTCCTGGCAAGGCACAATCTGTCAAACCTGGCATTTGGCGTGGTCCCGTCGACTACTACCCGGACTTTGTGTCTTGGCTTTCACGTAAGGCGCCCCATCTTCAGTGCCTTGAGTCTTTGATGCTGACACCTTCTTGACAAAAGTGGCACATGGGGCTTCTCGGCTCTGACAACCTACCCCGATGTTGACCGGTTGTACTTGGCCTCTCCAACTCGCGCTTGAGGCAGAATCTTTCGAAACGAAAGATGTGGCGCGGCTCAATGCAGTAGGACTGAGATTTCATGCCAAATGCCAGGTGATTGGGACTGAGTCTGACTTGGTGTGTGGCACGACTGCATCAACACGGGCCGCTCAGGTTGCCTTCAACTATGCCGGGATCCCTCTCCAGATCAAACGTCAGGCTTACACATCGCGTTTGTTTTTCACTGGCAAGCAACACGAGGATATGCAGTGTTGCTTTCATGGTTTGAGTTTGGTTTTGCCAGTCTCAATGAGGCATGCACATAGGTGTCCATTTTGGGTTAGTTTGGTTAAACATAGATGGCACTGGTTTATTCCATTTATCAGGGCTGTCTATTTGTCCAAAAGGCCGCCTATGAGCATGCAAGAAATCGGCAAGGACCAAGTGATGGATGGTGTCTGCATTCGGCTGCCAGGTGGCGTTTAGCTGCCGAGGCTGTGAGACCAAAGACGCGCCCTGTGACTGTGCCAGCTGGGGCCTTGTCTACCAGAGGTCCTGTCACCTGTTCCCAGCCTACGACACACTGCAAATTGAAGCAAAGCAATGGTTTGGCACGCTTAGGTGTCCCATATGCCTTCACCGTCAGCAACATCGAGGCATAGCTTTCCATGCGCTTCTTGCGCAGATAGACATTGCCAATTTGACGAAGAGTGATGCCGCACGCTGTTTCATGCCGCGGCTCAGTCTAGCTGGTGGATCAGGACTGTCTGTTTTTCGCTCCAGTAGCTTACATTTTTGTTTGGAGGTGTGAGTCGCGGTGAGCCGAGAAACCGTTTTTTGTGCTGCAGGTGACGCACCAACCACCACGAAAGCAGAAACCCACGAAGCCGTTCGGGTCTAAGAGCGGACGAAACATGCGTCAAAAATGGGAGTGCCGAAACAGATCGGTTCCAAGATTTTGTCCATCCGCATGGACAGGCTGTATGCGTGGCTGTCCCAAGGAGTCCATCTCCAGGTGGAGGCGGTGGAGATGGAAGTCATTTAGCCACTTGGAGTTTCACCCGGGAAGTCTTTCAGAAGTCTCTAAAGACACTGCCACATACTCCAGCGGAGTATCTCCGATGCTTGCGATTTGCAGCAAGTTCTATGTTTCAAGCATAGTTCCTTGTCTTCTTATTTGAGATGCTACTATGCGAGCAGGTGCGAGCTCAGCCGACTGAATTTATCAATCTCACTTCTTTAACTGGAGGCACTTGCTCAGGACTTGTGGTTATGACCCCCGAAGCCAAACCTTGAGCCAAGAATACTGTGCTTGCTATAATGTTTCAATTGTTTCGGGCCCGTATGATGTGTGTGTGTGTGACATGTTCACACCTTGGCAGCTGATTTGGTCAGGGACATGTGGATCAGTCTGTTCCCCTTTCCTGTTGGTCTCCCGTGGTCCCCCTCCTTGGTTGTTTGATCTTTTTGGGTTGTCCAGGACCCCTCTTGGATCTGATCCCTTTGGACATTCTGATGTTCCCAAATATTTTTACATCGATCACATTGCATGGTTTGCACTGAGCATGTGCCTTCGCTTGATCAAGCAAGATCATTTTCGGATGCCATTTTGGCAGAATAGCGGCAGGATAGTGCCCAGGCGTTTGGTCTTTAGTTCTGGGCCTGGGAGTGCAGTCCTGGAGATGATCGGGGATGGCGCGGGCCATGCGGGTTGGCCTTTGTCTGGTGAGCCCTTTCAGAGCTGGTTAGTCCGTAAGATCGTGACCAGCGCTCGCTCGCAGTGTGGGACCAGGTCACGCCCCCAAATTCGGGACTCCATCTGGCCCTGTTCGGGATCTACGCGTGCTGGATCAAGGTGGTGGTTGTTGGGTCGATCGACACAGCGACGCAGTTCCAGCGCAGAGGCTGGGGATGGACCGACGGCACCAGTTCCAACCGTTTTCGCGCCGTTTGAGAGGGGCGCAGAAGATCTACGACGGGAAGGAGGTCGCGTTGTGTACGGTTTTGGCGGGACGATTAGGACATGTCGGCGCAGCCGCAGTTCTGCAACGAGACCCTGATTCAGGAGCGCGAAGACAGGCGCGCTCAGGTCTTCGATCGTCGTCTGGGTCTTTGTCGGCTGGTCGCCTTTGAGGTTGGCAGGTGCTCGGTGGGACTCGGTGGGACGCCAGGGCACGGGATCGCTGCTCAGGGTGACTGATTGAAGATGCAGCTGGTAGCGGCGCGGATCGCGTGGAGTTTCGTTTCAACAACCGCAGCAACAGGGTCGACGCCAGGCGCAGTCGGGCTTGCGTCCCTGGCGCATGGCTTGCGGTCAGCCACATGTCTGGCTCATCTCTGACGAGGGCCAGGCTGGGCCCTGAACATGTTGGGGAGTTCCGTCAGCTGTGCGCGCTCAGCGAGCTCGCCATGCGCCCCAAACCGATCCTCCCTGTCATCCCGTCTGAAAGCACGTGGCTCCGCGCAGACAAACCAGCTGTGCAGGAAGTTTGGGCCCGCCGCGCCGGAGACCTAACGGCAGGATCTGCGTTCGCCGCATGATGACCAAGTCAGCGGCCTCGCTGGGATCGTCTGGCTTCAGCCAGTACGAGAGACCAGCTCCGCAGACCATACGGCTGCAAGCCAACAGAGGCATTTGCGGGCCGTGACCTGCGCCGATCTTCTTCCACTCTGACTCCGGGATCCTCCTCTTGTGGGCTGACGTTGGAAGACGCCACTTCGTCGCTGTCCGGAGGCCGTTGATCGGCCTTGGCTCACTTGCCCTCCTCGCGCCTTCTGGATCTGCGCCGAATCTGTGTCCGGGCCCAGAGATCAGGCAGGTGGCAGACAGGGCCACCCAACTTGTGGCTTCAAGATGCGCCGGATGACGCGGGCGCTGGTCCAGCCGGCATGATCCCCTGGCTGGCAAGATCCAGATGGGAGGAAGATGGGTCTGGAAGAAGAAGCTACCGCAGGTCTACCCGGTGCAGACTTTGACTCCCACGCGCTTGTGGAAGGAGCTTGCGGCTCGATCTGCTGCTGGTTCTCGATCAAGGGGGTCTGCTACCCTCGCGCTTTTTCAGCGGCGGCGTAAGATCTTTGCAAAGGCGGTTTCGCTGCGAGCAACTACCGTCGGCCTTTGCTCGACCGGCTTTCCAAGTCGTTGCCGTGCCAGCAGCAGCTGCGTGACTCGATTGGGCCTGCGCATGCCAATGTCTTGCATGGGGTGTAGTTCTTGGTCTTGATTGAAGATCTCATTCCCCCCCCCCCCCACAACGGAGAGAAAGTGACAAGGGGCAGCCAGTGATCGCTGGCCTTTGTTGAGGGAAGGGGGCTGACTGGTGCGGTGTTAAGCCAGAACTCGCTGGCTCCCGCTCTGAAGGTGATGCAAATCCTAGTGCCCATGGGTATTGCTCTGGCAGCCTCTTGGCAAGTAAGAGCCATCTGCAGCTTTGACCTTGGGACGACTTTTGATTTCTGACCAGCGAAAGGAGCGCACCGGCTGCGCCCAGGTGGCAGCGTGCTTGGCCTTCCTTTGCTGCTATGTTTGCAGCGAGGAGGGTGCCCGTCCGATTTGCCGCATGTGCGGAAGGTAGTGTGAGGCGCGCTTAGTTTATAAAGCTCTGCAGCTTGACCTAACGATGTTCATTCTGCCTCGGATGGCTTTGGGTCCTTGAGTCCATTGCGTTGCTGCCAGGTTCTTATGTTACCGTATTCTTGCTCATGAGCTTGAAGCGCAATGTTTTACTTTCAGCCTTGGTTGCGGCGTAGCATGTCAACATGACATTATGCTGTTTTACGTGATTTTACACGGAAGGAAACGCCGATTATACACTTCTCCCCCCTCTCTCTGTAATGTGCAAGTCTACTCTTTTTGCCTTTTAAGTGGCAGATTGCAGATTTGCTTTGAGAGGTACGGCAAACGAAGCAGATGAGCAGCGATCAAAACACCCATGAAGAAACCTAGTTTTGGGGCGCCAGAAAGGATTCTGCGGAAGGAATGGTTCACGGCGCGGAAGCTCGTGGAAGCTTCCGCAGAGCATATCGCAAGTTTTGTTGCCACGGAAGCAAACATATTATGACAGTTGTCCTTTTATTTTTGGTCACCGCTCAGATGTGTTTGCTCGGAGATGATGTTTGTGACTGTTTTTGAAACACAGTGCTTTCAGCGTGTTTGCATATTGAATAGAACATGCAGCAAATGTAGAATGTTTGCGCATCTACTCAGTATAATATATATATATATATTATATGTATATACACATTCACACTGCGATTCAAGAAGCAAGCTTGACGTCTCCCAGAAACAGTTTTCCTGGAATCTTCAATCCGGGCATATGCAATCACAGGCTGTATCAGCACATCATGTGGGGAAGCATTAAATGTATTTGTATCAATACATCACATCCGGTGACTGAAGCAGTTGAATAGACATGTGCCCACTTTCCTCGCACAAATGCTTGTACTCCAAGATTTCCCGGCAAACCCCCTAGATCAGGAACGTCGATAGGGAGAGTTGTATCCTGATTCTCTCTGATGTGTCCTGCATTCTCCTTTTATGCGCTAGGTATGGCGTTTCCAGAGTTCTCAGATAGTGCCTGGCACGTGTCTGGCGTATTATAGAAAGTGCTTGGCGCGTTTTCCAGTATGGTAACCTTGGACCCCGCAACGCGGCTGGGAAGGAGGAATGAGCGCGTACAATTGGCGCTATTCGCCAGAGACCCACTGGGCAGACGTGCGTCCTTACAATATTGCTTTCGCAGCCACATGGACGCACAGCACATGTCTACTGTACCACTGCTAGGGTCTGCGTACATGGTTAAGCTCAGCAAGTGCCTCATCAAGGACCGCGCGTTGGAGGACGTTTCGCGCGATGACAACCCTTGGACTCGCCAGCGCAGTTTTCCGACAACGTCGCGCCGGCGGAGCCGGACATGCGCATGTTGCTCCTGCGCTTGCCCCTGCAAAAGTTCAACAGCCGCGCTGAGCACCGCGTGGCCCCGACTTTTCGCACAACGGGGCATGTGCTTCTCAGCATATACTTTCGTCTTGTGCTCATCGACCCAGTGCGAGGAACTGCAAACACTGGGCTTCGGACGTAGCACGTAGACGTGGCACGTCCGCCTACCATGTCCAAGACTTTGAGGGCAGTGGGAAGAGTGGCTGCTTTTGGACCTACAGTCTGTGTGCTGCGCGCTGACTTGGGCAGACGCCTGCGGATCGAAGGCTCCGGAGCTCTTGCACGGAGAGATTGGCGCGAACCCAGAGAACACCTTCCCAACTTTTTAAAGAAAGCGCCCTGCAAGGCCACGGGCTATCTTTCGCGAGGTCTAGCATATTCATACGGAAGCGCAACCGTTTAACCTGGTTTTGGTTTGAGAATCACAGAAGCATTACAAATAAGATCTTCTCTCCGTGTTTGGTTTTCATCGACGGTATCGAGAAGGTTTGAATCGACTTGGATAAGCGAAACGTAATTTGCTAGCGCTTTCCAACTATGCCTTTAAGTGGAGTTGAGTTAGAGTGCCATGGAATCCAAGCACGAATTAGCTAGTAAAATGAACGAGAATGGATGTGCAGAAGCACATGTGAGTTCGATTGCAATTGCCACGGGAATGACTTCCGTCCCCACGCCCCCCAATTGATGTTTCGCTGCTTTTCGCAAAACCGATAAGAGTTGAAAAGCACGATAGCGGCTGTTTGCAGGCATTTTGAAGTTGCCAAGTCTACTTTGCGTTCTCCCCTTGTACTGACAAGTTGCGTTGTGTGAGCTGAAGTTGGCTAAAGTGTACTTCACATGCTGCATTTGTGGTGAGTATACATTTCATGGATGTGAACAAGGAATGACATTCCTTTAGGATTGACTCGGGGTATACTCTCAATCAGATGTGTCAACAAGGTGTTTGACAAACATGAGCCTAAATCGAGGAGCAAGCTGACCATACGCAGGTTCATGCTCGGGATACGATACACACATATGTATAGAGATACCGATATATATATATATATACAATGTTGGGATGCAGGCTGCAGATATATTTTTGGCGCCCTATTTTTTTGCGCCACGCATGCACCGTGCCCAGCTTTTTGAGTCGAGTCATTCTGTTGTAGTCTTGATGCCTGTGACAAATGTGGCTCTTGAGCCTCTGCAGGATGATGTGGAGAATGTCAGAGTCAGCCCTTAGCTCAGTGGATTGCCAGGTGGATTGATCCAGGTCCACAGGTCCAATCAGACATAGTGTTGACCTCAGATCAATCAACCAACCAGTTCATTAATAGGGGGTTTCCCCCTCCAAAAGTGGTCTGGTTCCTTTCGCCCAAGGAAAAGCACCCCCCTATTCATAAACTGGGGTTGATTAGCATGGGGTCAACATTATTCTCAGGGTGGCTCTTGCAAGAGCCATGCCACGCATGACCCATGTCAGAATGAGAACCTGAGATGCAATTCATGTGAACCCTGTCCACGAGGAAGACGAAGGAAGAAGTTGGTGAAGTGCCAGGACACGTCTGAGAGCAGCAGCGATTCTTAGCACTCGATTTTTAGACTCTGCAAACAAACTCTGAACCTGGATTTCCAGCAGGGGCGATCACCTTGCAGCCGCCGCACTTTTTGTCTAAGGCCCATGCACGCAGCACAAATTTCTATTGACGCAAAGCCTTAGAAACGTTGTAGCTGCCTTACCAATTATGCAGGGCTCCAAGCACTATGCCTTCAAGCAGCAACTGCAAACCTCACCACTGGAATCGCCAGATCCTAAACCTAAGCTTAAACCTTGATACGCTCAGCCTCAATCCCAGCACGCAAGTCAATTGTTAGGGAACAAAGCGGTTCGCGGCTTTTAATGAATGTTTTCTGCACGAATGTATGTTTCTTTTAAGCTCGACTTGTGGTGACTGCGTGATAGATGTATATAAATGGCCAAGCTTGTTAAAAGTGAAGTTTGCGAGTGCAGCTGTCGAGGTGTTGTCGCTACCTCACTGCTTGCGGCGCGTCCTTTGCTCCGCTTTTTTCCAGAAGCCTTCTTAGGCGAATTCTGAGCGATTGATGCTCATTCTCAATGGTATGCTTTGCGCAGGGTACTCCAAGCATGGCTTGCCACGTTGTGGCGCTGCATGTGCCGAAGACTTCAAGCCTAGTGCGCGACCTGGTGGTGCCGGAGGAGAAGCAATCTTTCCATTTGAACGGAGTCGGGCATGCAGTCCGCAGAGAGCGAGAAAGCGGTTCTGGATTTAAAGGAGTGCTCACGTGTCACCCTTTGGCTGATGCCTTGGCTAATCCTTATAAGCGATGCTTCAATCGATTGGCTTGCGAGAGCTGGCATCAAAAAGGCTGCGGATTTTGTGGCAAGTTTTGCCGCTTGCAGAGCAGTTCCAGTGCTGCTAGACAAACCTGCTCGTCCAAAAGACCTTGATCACTGTTGCATGGCAACGCAGGTTCTGACCCGAGCACATACGAGATGATGCAGAAGGCCCGTATCAAATCCCTTGTGAGATGGCTCCGTTTCCCTCTCATCAATGAAGTTGTTCTCCAATTCTTACGTATTTATCAAAACATTTGTTTTTGTTGATTGAGATACACGTGCGCACGTTTATTTACATTGCAACGTCACGCCAACTCATGTGTTTTGTATTCTCTTACGACAGGAGACACGGTACGACAGGAGACACGGTGAGGTGTTCATGTATTTGCAATGATCGGCTGACAATGAAAGTGGAAGTTCATGTCGTCTTGAATTCAAGGCAAGCTTTGGCATGCTGCCTGACAGCGTTTCTGAAATTAGTGACCTCCCTCGCATAGCAGATGATGTTTTGGCTCCTTGACAGCTTTGACTGTTCCTTGTTGTTTTCAAACACTCCAAGAGCCAAGCGGAGGCGTCAACAATCATCACGGCTTTTTGTTTTCGGATGCTTGCTGCTTGATTGCGCGCATCATGTTCATGCCCGGAGAAGCCCGATGCTGTTTTGCCTTCTGGTTCTGACCTGGGCTTTCTTGTATCAATTTCCAAGCGCAGCCAACAATTGGCTTTGAGCAGCAGAAACAGTTGGCTTTGGCTCGTTGAACAAGAAGCCAACACATCCTGAGGAAATCACGCGAAAACAGCAATTCTTTTGATACCGATACAGGTGGTAGTCCTTCTTGACGACTCAACGCCTTTTTGACATGTTTTTTTTTGCGTGTTTTGTGCCGATGTTGTGAGTGGTTCGTTGGTTTGTCGCTATCTTTACCAGGGATGCTATGTATGGATCCAAAACTCTGCTTTGGTGCAAGAACATTGCGCTTGGTCTCGAGGAGCATCTTGTTGAGTCACTTGCTGCCAGGTAAAAACATTGCAGAAGCGCCTGATCTCCAAGACAGAGGAAGCAGTAGAGAAGGAGACTATCGGATAGGAGATGGCTTAAACTAGTCGCATGCTCGATACCCTTTGTTTGACACCCTTTGGCCACCCTCAATATCCACAACTTCCAGTGAGTGGCGCGGGGACAAAAACCGCATCGCTGAAGACCGGCCTTTTTGGGTTGCATGACACAGAAACCCAACATGTTCACAAACGATGGTGTCAACGTCTTTGTGTGCAAGGGCGCCTCGGTACATTCGAGGACCTGGCACTCCAGGAAAAGGAGAAGCTCTATTTGGAGATGAGGCCAGGCGGAGAGACTCAGAGAGCGCGGCAGTGCACCGAGCCAAAGGCCGGATTCCGAATATTGATTGCTCAGGAACTTACTCTCCAAGCAACCGGGCCCAGAAGTTGCGAGGAGCCAAGATATGTGCAATTCTTGGTATGGACTCCGTTGATCCTTGAATTCCTGAAGGTCGAGGAAGTAGGGAAGCAGCAGAACAACTTGAAGGACTGCGGGCTGACGTATACAGTGGCTTTGTGATGATCTTGGATAAGCTGGTCAGCTCCCGACAGGAGAAGACAAAGCAGATGAAGGCGGGCACAAAGTCATTTGAACGAAGACTCGCGTGCGAACATCACGTGTGACTCCCTAGAGGCCATGGCAGCGGAGCTGAACATGTACCATGCGCAGCTCAATGACTACAAGGCAGGGCCGAGTTTGCACGGGCCCAAGTGCTCCGCCCGGCAATGTGGGTATTTTGACTTGGGAGGACGGGAGATGTAGGGGTTATGTCAAGATCGACAGCTAGACCAACTTTTCGTCTCCCCACCCTCTCCAAAAAATGCGTAAGTTGTACCTTCCTGGATGCCGAGAGTCTTGATCCTGAGCCATGCATAGCTTGTCCAGGATGAGATTGAGCGCATCACGAAGGAGCTGCAGGATACCAAGAGGAGGCAGGCAACTGCAACGAGCAAGTAGTAGAAGCGGGCGTGCTGATGTTAAGCGGGTGCTGTGCCCAATTTCTGCTGGAATGCTGGCTAACAAGCAGACAAGGCACTTTGTGCCAAATCACTTTGAGCCAGTGATGTCAAGCTGATAAGCTCAAGTCATACCAGGCTGTGCTATGGAGTCATGAAAATTGCCATTCTTGCCCCTGCCTGATGCCGACACACCCTGTGGTAGAATGTGCATCCCTACCCCCTTAAACATGGTTGATTGGGGGAGGGGGGTAACCTCTGGAGATCTCCATTTGTGGCAACCCATTTTCCATTGGGAAGACTAGAGGAGTGCAATTGGGGACTTTCCGCCTCCCTCCAGAAGGTTGGGGGGATGAACGTGCATCCTGCTTCAATGGGCCATGGGCCTCCGCAGATACTTCGAGCAGCGTCACCGGGAACAGCTCATGAAGGCAGGCGCACTGAACTGCAGAGTTATGTCCTCGTTGTTTTTTCTTCCCCTTTTTTTCCCCCTTCTTCTTATTTGTTTAAACCAGTTTTTTGTTTTTGCCCTTGGTGTTTTAATGCAAGGACGCCTAGCTTCACCCTGCAAATAAATGCCCATGACACGCCTTGCCGAGTTGTCAGAAGCGATACTTTGCTGTAAGGATACCTCCAAGCCAGACAAGGGCGTTCACTGAGGATTCGGGGACTAGATCTAATCTAGGTATGCTCGCTCAGAGGCTTGCTGAGGAGGCTTGTTCCACCATTGTCCACCTCAGGACTGAGCTCAAAAAGTTTCACCCTGCCAAGCTTGCGCCTGCTGGTAGTCGCTTTGCAGAGACTCGCAAGCTCCTTGCAGTTCCAGTGGCTTGTTTAGGCCGGTGCTTTTGTTGGCAGGTCACATTATTCCGGCTAGGCTGAAACAGCCTCCATTGTTTCCACCCTCTCAAAAGGTCACAGGTTGCATGACAGCAGCTGTTCTGAACAATAGCGGTTGAAAAAGGCCGCAATGAAGCAGCCCGGAGTACAGGCCACGGTATTTTGAGAGACTTCGGCTTGGCAGCTGCGAAGCATCAACCAACATCCTACTGACAAATAGCTTGGCACTGCCCATTCGCTTTCTGAATTGAGATTTGCGTCACCAGAGATGGTGGCGATATGAATCACTGTCAAAGTTCACCATCATTTACTCAAATTTCAAGGGAATGAAATCAGGCACACTCACAAGGAAATGAAGATTACCCCAAAATCCAATTTCATTGGGGCGCGCAACAAGCATTGACCGCGGCTCATCTCTTCATCAGCGTGAAGACCCAAGCTAGCAGCACTTCCCCCAGCTGTGCTCATGTGCAACTCAGTTGAGTCACAATCAAAACTCGAGTAATTGTAGGGTAAGTGCGGATATCCGCTTTTGCAATTCTTGAAGCATGGTTCTGGGACGACCATTTTACTACCGGGTTTTGACGGCCGGCTTTTCAATTCTTGAAGCATGGTTCTGGGACGACCATTTTACTACCAGAAAATTAGTTTTCACTATGCCTCATTTGAGGCACATGGAAAACCCGGGTAGCTGAAGGTTAGAAAGGGGCAGTCGCCGAAAATAGTTGCGGATATCCGCCTTGTCACTTCCTGAAGCATGGATTTGGGTAGAGGTTTTTGAGACTGGGTTTTGATTGTAAGTCAGACTGGGCTTCTCAGAATTGGAGCCCTTTTAGATTGCTTTTGAAGGGAAACCAACTAGAAACCAACGAGTCTTAGGGGACACTTTTGAGAAGCGCGCTTCCTGCTCGAATTCTTTGGCTCGAGACCAATTAGATTGCCGGCCGTTCCTGAGAAGGCGCTGCCTCTCCGCAAACCACCCACTTTCGTTGTGCTGAAAGCGCAAAGCGGATGGACGCTGGGCTGAAAGTCGGGGGAAACCGCTTGTACATAATATGTATATCAAGATGTATACACATATATATATATATATATATCCATATATATATATATATGTACCAGTCCCTGGGCCACGTACCCCCCCCGCCCCCCATGGTATGGTCCCCCCCACTCCCCCGCATCATCCGCATCTTGGGGATGATGCTGGCAATGCTGGGGATGCTGTCCAGTACCGTGCGAGCCCTGCAGCTTCGGTCCCAGACATCCTACCCTAAACCAAACCACCCTGCAACCCCTCCAAAACCCCAACCCTAAGCCTAAATCAACCCAAACCCCAAACCCACCCCAAACCAACCCTGAACCAACCCTGAACCAACCCTAAACCAACCCACCAAGCCTAAACCAACTCCGAACCACACCCCAACCACCCAACCACCCAACCACCCAACCACCCCACCACCCACCACCCCACCACCCCACCACCCCACCACCCCACCACCCCACCACCCCACCACCCCACCACCCCAGCACCCCACCACCCACCCCCACCCCCACAGAGGGGGGGGGGGGTTGGGGGGGGGGGAGGGGGGGGGTCCACGGCCTGGAACATATATGTATGTATATATATATATATGTATATATATATATATATATGTATATATATATATGTATAAACACCAATGCAATCCTAGAATTTGGACCTAGGTGTTGCAGCATTCAAGATTCAACGTCTCCTCAGACTCTCTAAGAGATCTCGAATCGTGAACCCTTCAAATCTAGATTGATTTGCAATAGATTGTCAGAGGTGCCAGGCGCAGGCACAACAATGCTGGAAAAGACTATTCTGGAAACACGAATCTTGAATCTCGCCACACTCTAGGGTTACTCAGGGCGGATTTTGCAACTCTATATAAAGCTACATTTAGAGCTTATTTGGGTCAATGAACTCTTCCTAAAACTTCTTGAATGTTTCAGGGCAACGGGAGTTTGCAGGCACAAACCAATTCGGATTACTAATTTCTACGTCGGAACGTCGTGCTTGAAGACACTTTCAACATGCTTTAAGCATTTTGTCAGGAATTAGCCCAAAGCAAGACATTTACGCAGGGTAACTTTGAGCAAAGAATGGGTGACATTTTGGCAGAGCAACCTTTGACATGCAAACAGCCTACCGGCTTCCTTTGTGCAAGCTTGCCGAAGGCCGGCTTCCTGTTCAAGATGAAATAGTGTGACAACAACATGCAGCGGTTTAGCCGGGCTAGCCTTTTATCAACTCTTGACATTTAAGATATTTCCCCGACACCACTGCTTGAACAGACCGCGCTTGAGGTGTTCGGTCTGGCGGGCTCACAGAGCAGAGGGTGGGGGTGGAATGGGGTGGGGTATTTTTCTTTTCTGGTTTGCTGTGGAAACAAATGCTCGAGAACAAGGCACAGCATTCAATGACCGGGCTAATTAATGTTTGACAACTCTGGGCTGTCCGGCACAGGAAACAGGAGTGAGGATAAGTGTTGGTGTGTATTTTGTAAGCATACATGTAAATGTGTATATTTAGTATAGTGTTTACATATATACGAACGTCCATACATGCACACACAAATACAAACATACGTACCTACCTACCTACCTACCTACCTACCTGCCTAACCCAACCTACCTACATGCATGCATGATGCATACATACATACATACAGACAGACATACAGACAGACAGACATACATACATACATACATAACTGCATACATACATACATACATACATACGTACGTACGTACGTACATACATCCATACATACATACATACATACATACATACATACATACATACATAACTACACAACTACATACATACATACATACATACGTACATACATACCTACCTACCTACCTACCTGCCTACCTACCTACCTACCTACGTACGTACGTACGTACGTATATACACATACACACATACACACATACATACATACATACGTACGTACGTACACACGTACATACGTACATACGTACATACGTACATACATCATACGTACATACATGCACATACATACATACATACATACATGCACATACATACATACGTACATACGTTCATACATACATAGGATACGTACATACGTGCATACGTACATAAGTAGATACGTACATACGTACATACGTACATACGTACGTATCCGTACTTATACGTACATACGTACATACGTACATACGTACACACGTACATACGTACATACTATACATACATACATACGTACGTACGTACATACATCCATGCATACATACATACATACATACATACATACATACATACATACATACATAACTACACAACTACATACAAACATACATACATACGTACATACATACCTACCTACCTACCTGCCTGCCTACCTACCTACCTACCTACCTACGTACGTACGTACGTATATACACATACACACATACACACATACATACATACATACATACATACATACATACATACACACACACATGCATACATACATACATACATACATACATACATACATACATACATACATACATACACACATACACACATACACACATACACACATACACACAGACACACATACACACATACATACATACATAAATACATACATACATACATACACACACATACATACAGACACACATACACACACATACATAATACATACCTACCTACCTACCTACCTACCTACCTACCTACCTACCTACTACCTACCTACTACCTACCTACCTACCTACTACCTACCTACCTGCCTGCCTGCCTACGTACGTACGTATGTACGTGCGTGCGTACGTACGTACGTACGTACACAACACACAACACACAACACAACACAACACAGCGCAGCACAACCAAACCAAACCAATCCTAACCTAACCTAACCTATCCTAACACAACCTATATTCATTCATGCATGCATACATAAACATATACATGCATACAGACCTTACCTTATGTTATATTACATTATATTGCATTCCACGCACACACACACATACATTACATTACATTGCATTGCATTACATTACATTACATCACTGTACACTACGCTACACTGCATTGCATTACATTGCAGTACACTGCACTGCATTGCACTGCACTGCATTGCATTACAGTACATTGCATACAATATACACATGCATAGATCGATGTGTTCGCCTATATCAACCACCTCAACCAAGAGTTGGGTGGCCACTGATGGCCCAGTCCCACGAAATAAAGAACGATTCGGCCAAGGACTCTACAGGAGGCAAAGCTGCTCTCAGCGTCAGCGCACTTGGTGTCAGATCAGTGGGCCTGTTCGAGTTGGCATACAACTTGCTGGTGCGATAGGCAGGGAATGAGTTGGAATGTCCTCAATTTAAACCATCCCCGATTTGGTTTCCTTTAAGGGCATTTCTGGGTTCATTCCCTCATTCCCTACTGAGCACCAGAAGACAAGCCGGTTCGCAAGTGTTGGCATGTGAATCTTCTCTTTTGAAGCCACCTCTACCATTTTTGACCCACACACTTGGCTGCCAGATGTGGCCGCAGTTGTCGCTGTCCTTGTAGGCAAACCTGTTTATCCAGGTGATGCGCCTTGGCAAACTGCGAGCACAGCTCAATGAAGTCATGATTATCGAGGAGCTGCGGTAGACGTGACTCTGTGACTTTTAGTGCAATCGCAACCCAGAGCGCCAACAGGAGATCCATGACCAGGAGGTGCGAAAGTACACCGAGGAGAGCTTGCTGGAGGCTGGACCATGATGGAGTAAGCGGTAGGCCAACCGAACACAAGAACTCTTCTGCACAAGTTTCCCCCTGACATTTGCAAGGGGAGTAGCGACCAGCCAGTGGAAACAGTATCATCTTCCATTCAGTTGGCTAAATCTTTGCAAGGAAGCCGTGGAGACAGAGGAGGAGGTCCGCTGCCTTCGTCTAGCGGTGGCAGTTTTCGTGTTGCTTTGTTGCTGGCTCCTTTAAAACAAATCAGCCAGTGGCTGGGGTCATGAGCCTGGCAGTCCATGAAATCTGTGTGCTGGATGTTTTTTTGCTCTAATATGTGCATCTCTCGTTCTTCTGGCCAAGCTCCCGAGAAGATATGGACGCTGCCCGCAAACCCTTGCTGCCGGTGTATACCGGTTTGCGCGCAAGAATCGCGCGCAAGAATCGCGCAAGTGCGAAAGGTATGGCCCATCCACACGATAAGTTTGGTGCAAGCTTGCGGCTCCACTTACAAGAGCGCAAGTTTGCCATTGCTTCTTAGATGACTCGCAAACCGCACGAACATTTCGCATAAAGAGACTGCGCAAAAACTAGTTTCCGCATTGCGCGCGCGCAAGGACGTGCACGTGCCGCTCAAGTGCGGGCGATAGGAACTATCCCCGGACCATTGAACACGCTGCCCAGTGCCTTCAAGCCTGCGAGCGTGTGAGGAGAAGTGGACAGCTCCCGCTCTTTTGGATGACGACTTGGTGGTGGGCGACTGTGACTCAGATGATGAGGCTGGGAGTGGAGGCAGACGTTGGAGCCACCGGATCCATCAGGGCCTTTGGGGCTGTCGGGGCTTTCCCTTGTTTTGTTTTCTGCGTGAGGTGCCCTGCCCCCCCAGCAGCTCGAGTGGCCGGAGCACAGCGCGCAGACTCATGCAGGCGTGGGCAGTCGCCGAGCCAAGCTAATCGAGCCCGCATTTGGCAAAGCCTTGCTCAGCCTTGACAAGCGCCGCTTGAAATTGTAGTCGTGACTTGCGAATGGCCGGCACTTGCTGCCCTGGTTAGGCAAGAGCCCAACAATGCATCGTATGTATGGAGGAGAAGGAGCCTTGCAGTTTTGGATGCCTTGATCGCATGAATAACACGACAAACATGCGGCGGCCTGAGCTGAAAAGCCTCAAGTCACAGTCCAATGTCCGGTTTACTGACATGGTGACCACACACGCCCACACGCCCGCCCGCCCGACCGCATGCCCGCATGCCCGCGCACGCGCACACACACACACACACACACACACACACACACACACACACACACACACACACACACACACACACACACACACACACACACACACACACACACACACACACACACACACACACACACACACACACACACACACACACACACACACACACACACAACAACAACACACAACAAGAACAAGAACAAGAACAAGAACAAGAACAAGAACAAGAACAAGAACAAGAACAAGAACAAGAACAAGAACAAGAACAAGAACAAGAACAAGAACAAGAACAAGAACAAGAACAAGAACAAGAACAAGAACAAGAACAAGAACAAGAACAAGAACACGAACAAGAACAAGAACAAGAACAAGAACAAGAACAAGAACAAGAACAAGAACAAGAACAAGAACAAGAACAAGAACAAGAACAAGAACAGAACAAGAACAAGAACAAGAACAAGAACAAGAACAAGAACAAGAACAAGAACAAGAACAAGAACAAGAACAAGAACAAGAACAAGAACAAGAACAAGAACAAGAACCAAGAACAAGAACAAGAACAAGAACAAGAACAAGAACAAGAACAAGAACAAGAACAAGAACAAGACCAAGAACAAGAACAAGAACAAGAACAAGAACAAGAACAAGAACAAGAACAAGAACAAGAACAAGAACAAGAACAAGAACAAGAACAAGAACAAGAACAAGAACAAGAACAAGAACAAAAACAAAAACAAAAACAAAAACAACAACA